CTATTCTTGCATAAGTAGACAACCTGGGCATGGTTGATTGTCCTGTTTTGTCTTTTTAGTAACCATGTTTTTGTATTAATTTTGGTGTCTTTATTGTGTTTTCTTTCTCATCAGTTCACACACCACTCGTATTTATGTTTCATCAAAAGTAACAATGGAATCTTGGCTCAAATAATGTACATATATCCCATCAGTAACAGATTGCCATAGTGATTACAGAATCATAGCACATTTGCCAACGTTAGGGGCACCAATGAGTAAGGTGAATGAGTGATGGGGGGTGAGGAGCACAGAGAGAAGAAGAGACATTCTACTGTGCTTACTTTATTCTGATGTTTGAGAGTATTTCATCACACTGACGTAACGTTATGTGACTTTCTATTTTTACTCAAGTAATCAGAGTACTTCCTCGTTTACATTCTAAAGTGCTTATCATGGCAGTATTCTATTATCCCATCCTGGTAACAGTGACTTTTACCGGGAGTTATGTCTGTGGAAACAGCATAAACAGCAATATGTTTTTTCCTTACATGGGGTGACATCAGAGGAAATTTTTATTAATTTAATGGTGCCTTTGTCACAGATTCAATTGGTTCTTTGTATTTTGCTCTGTATCCTAAACATCACAATGGCTGTTGTGTAAAGTGACTACAACTTCCATGCTGCCTTACTCTTAGAGACTACATATTAGTACCCACTGTGGTGAGCTGATTGTACCCACGACAGAACAGTGGCATTGTCGGCAGGATCAATGCACAGAGAAAATTACTGCAGTGCCAAGAATCATTTATTGAACAATATTATTGAAATATGATTGTGGATGGGAGACAGGATCACCTTGTTAGTTTTTGTCTTTTGTCACTGCAGAAGAAGTCAGGTAGTCTGGAACACGTCTTCTCCCCGAGGTCTTCACGCAAAAAGCTCCTGATCAACCCCTCTGCTACTTTTTATTCTCATCTCTCTTTTCCTAGCATTCTTCCCTCATTACCTCAGCTCTTAACTGTCTTAAGAGTCCTGTTGATGTTGTACAAGCATTCCAGGATCCAGGCATTGAGTCCTAGGCTTTCTTGTAGTCAATCCAGGCAGTGCACAGGTTGGTATGTCTGGTCTTGCAGTCTCTAGTGACTACTTTATCAAGTAGTCCAATACTCCTCTACCAATATTGAGCCATGTGCCTGCCCATCTTAGCTGCTATGATGCCTGACAGGAGCGTCCATGTTGTGCAGAGGCAGGTTATTGGGCAGCAGTTGGATGGTCTTCTGAGGGTCCTTCAGTCCTGTAGGACTGTCCGGCCTTCAGTTAACCACTCAGCGTGGGTCCCATCCATTAATAGCTGGTTCATTTATCCCGCCTCATGGAGTGAAGTTAGCTTTTTTTAACCAGTAGGCGTGATGATATAGGTTCCTGACACCGGGGCGACATGACTCTTATTTTTCCAACTGAGGGTAGGCAGGTAGCCATTAAGGGCCTTGCCTAAGGACCCAGGCTAGATATTAACTGCCTTGACCCCAACCTTCCGTACCAAAGTCAGTGGTGTTAGCCACTGAGCTATCCAGTCAGCCCAGTGAGACAGTGGGTTACAGCTATATTGAGCAACAGTCACTGATGATCAGCACTGAAAGGGGAGGTGGGGAATAAGAGTTTTCTTTTTTTTTGGCTGAGCCAGGGTGTTTCAATCAAATCAATCAATCAATCAAAAGAAAGAATAGCTGTACATATCTGGAAACGCAGCCAGATTGAGCTGCAGCTCTCCAGGATGATGAGCCAAAGCCAGCAGAATGCTGCACCCTGGATGCTGAGGGACATGGCGTAGAACTGGGTAGACATGGATCAGCAGAAATGAGTATCTAGCTAGGGGCCGGAACTCCTCCTCATCTTTACTTTATTGCTATATACCACAGAGAACACTCATTCATGCAGTCACTTACTTGGGCCCAAAACAGCATAATACACCAGGCATTTTGATAGTTGGGGGCTCCTGTGACAACTCCAGGGGAAATCTCTTTGCATCCAGGACTCGGCTGAGACTATCTTTAACTTTTCCCTTTGCTTGACTTGTATAGGGAAATTTGGCAATCTTCCTCAGGAGTTAAGGTGATAATCCTGTGCACAGCCCAAGAAAATGTGGACTGCTCATCCATCCAGTTGAGCGCCGAAGGGAATTCTTAAATGTAACAAAAATATAAGACACCAACACACACCAGGCAGTGAAATCTTTATTAATTTATGCACATAATTGTGAGCAATGTGTTTCGCAGGTTAGGTCAGGGTTCACTCAGTGAGGCTGACAAAGCGGCAATGCAAAAGGCATTGCTTGCAATGTGCATAAATTAATAAAGATTTCATATCTAGACATCCCTGGTGTGCATTGAAGTCTTATAATTAGCAATGATGGCCTAGTGGTCTAAGAAATATACCCTGTGACTACAAGATCACTGCTGTGACAGTAACTAAGCTGACTCTAATGACAAATAAGTGACAAAAGCACATATGAACATAGGTCAGCAAGTACACAGGACTAGCCAACATATTTTCATAAATTTGTTTAATCTAGTTTGTACAAAGTTGGATCATACTGACTGACATATGTTCTAGCAATGGTTAGTCAAAGCTCAGATTGATAATAAATTAACTGTTGGCAGAATATCTATGGTATATGGAAATACAGCAAAAGTTACTTTAAATGGTCAACAAGTAAACAGGACTAACCACCAAATCTTGTATGATTTCATTGGGCATATTTGGTCAAAGCAACAGAGTATGGTTCACACTGACATACGTTATATTAAAGTCTCTGCAACATTTATGGCCCGAATAAGCTTGGTTTGCCTGGTCTGTCAGACAAAATGTGATGTCTGGATTTGTCCTTCCATGTATGTCTTCTTCACACTGTGAGCGTGACAAGCTGAGGAGGGAATAAGGATGTGAAAAAAATTACGATGCATACACAGTTTGAACATGCATTCAAATTGCATACACAGGGTTTGGTGTTGAAGCGGAATAAAATGTAGGCCAAAATTCTGAAATGATGGTGTAGCCCATAATTAAACCTTAGATCCATCATGAAGCTGTTTGTTTAAATATGTCCTCTATATTTTCTATCTTGAAAATGTACACAGTTTCCCACCAAAAGACTTGTTTTTAATATTTGCCATGTGACACAAAAAATATTTAGGATGGGGACTTCAACAAAACCCATCTGTTCATTTGTTAACCAGTTCTACTTGTCTGTTTTCTGAAAGAAATGCAAAATTGAAGTAAGAAAACCTGACATTCAATAAAGTTATTTACAAAATGTTATTAACATCTGTTATATTTCTGGATATCATAACAGGTTACATGCAATTTTGCTTAAAAGACATTTGCGTTTAACAACTAAAATAACATACAATCAACATAACAGACACCAACCTATATAACAAATACTAACTTGCAACCTTTACATTAAAATCCACTGGGTAAAAATATAAAATGTTGGCTTACTCTGTTATAATTCACAGTAATAGTGGCCTGCCAGTCATGACTTGTGTTCTGATATGTACTCATTGTTGGTTTAACAGCAGGGATACAGTAAAATGGGGGGTTTTTTTAGAAGCAAAATGAATGCATTTGCTAAATTCACATTTAATTTTTAATATGGAACTCAAAGGCAAAATGCTGAATTTTAGCCCAGCAATTACCTCACTGATAGAGAACTAGATAAACATTCAAATACATTTTGAAATCAGAGGCAAATTTAAATTCTAAAGATTTGGCAAGATGAATGATGAACACTTTTAATGGAGCAAGAAAAATAACATGATGGAAAGTGAAGAACTGCATCAAAACCATACACTGCTCACCAAGTATATATTTGTGAGCAATCAACATGAACTTACACATATTTTTTGCTATTTGCACTCAAAAGATGTCAAATATTACCATAACTGATAATTTCATGACTATTCTTATTAAAATGGCATTCACTGTCATTAATATATAGTGTTAACATTTCCAAACAAATTTGACTGTCTTGAATTGGCTATGAGTTGAATTTGAGTCGTAGCCAGTCCTCGTGCTACAGTAATTACATTTCAAACTGTCAACATTTCTTTAAAGACAGAATTTGAAAATGTATGTCTATGGCTACCTCCTGACACTGGTACTGACTCCAGCACAGTATCCCTAGGAGCTGGGTCCATATTGGACAGTTCTGCACCTCCTGACTGACGCTGAATGCCAATATTCAGTGCCAGTCCAGGAAGCATTTCTCTAACCATAACCATACTCTTGCTGTAGCTGCTATGCTCATATACTGTAGGAAGCAAGAACTTGAAGGATGTTGTCAGTGAAAGTAATCCAGAATTTTGCAGGATTGTCCAACACTGATATTCTTTGTCTGTGGATAAGATTAGTCGACCCACGATTTTTGCACTTGAACGCTGCACAGGAACTACAGCCTACGTTGAGGCCTTCAACATGCATGGAAGTTCTGTACTGTATGACAAGAAACAGCTCTAGAGCAGTAGTCTGCATTCCTAGTCCATGGAAAGATGAACATACCAAGAAACCTGTGACACTAATAAACAGATAGGGTGAATCTACTCAGAAATCATTTGAGAGGAATGTGTACCAGCCCATATAAGCTACTAATCTCCAGAAAATGCCATCACAAATAAACATTATGCATTTTAGATGAGTTAGATTTATCACTAGCCATGTTGAAATTTTACAGCCTGGACAAAAAAAGAGACAAAGTTCAAAAATTTGACTTTACCCATGCTGGCTGAACTTTTCATTTGCTGTTGATTTGTTACTGAATTCCATTCAATATTAAAAATGTCCTGTGTGATGAGGGAGGCGGTGAGTGAGCACAGGTCCAGTGGTACAGGCAGACAATGAAACTGACACAGATTTATAAACCCAAACAAATCAAAAGCACCAGTCAATGACTCAGTTTTTCATTCCATATAATTAAACACATGAGAAAAATCTACAAAGTCTAAAGTAAATGGAACTGACCAGACAATATTAATATAAAATTAAACCAGAATCACACCTGCTGGTCATGAGCTGTGAAAGAATTTGTTAAAAGAAAGCAAAAAACACACTGTGACCAACTAAAAGTGACCAGATTTGAGCCAATTGAAAAGGCTCTGAAAGGGTTCATTTTTACAGCCAAGGAAACTTTGCAAAGTCTTGGAAAAGTACACTGACAGAAACAGACAAATTATAACTGAACTACAGTCTGTGCCTTTCTATAACAGGGAACACTCTCACCGGGTTAATCCAATTAATCTGTGCTGCACCTGAAAAATCGGGGGGGTGGGGGGGTAATCAATTTGACAATAAGGTCCAACTCCCACTGGGAGTAACATGTCCGTGTAAACATGTTTCTGTATTTTCAATACAGAAACATGCTTCAGTCCACTTTTTTTAAAATCAGGATTGAAGTATATCATTAGAGGTAACAAATGTGTTGGAGCTAACATATCAGAAACAAGAAATTAGTTTGTCAATGCACATCAGATCAGCATTCCCCTCCTTAAAGAAAGTTAACAGCTTAACATTCAAAATACAGCCAACCTGTATGCATTGCCTACTTTTTTTTCATTAACTTAGTTGCCAGTGACCTCACATGCTATGCCTAGGGGTCCCAAGTAGATGTCCTATACGCTTAGCTCTTAAGGAATCAATGAGGTGGCTGGAGGTTCTCCAGGTCCTTTCAGGCACCTCAAATGACACCACCACATATCACTCTATTCCTTGTGGGGGAGGCACAGCAGTGTTCCATCCATATGTAGCCACATGGAGAGTGTCTAAGATGCAGAATCTTTGCTACTTCCAGGTGGGCTTCCTCCACTTGTGATCAAATTGCGCAGCAGTTTGCGTCGCCCGGCTTGATAGTCCTCCTCGTCAACATTGACCAACAGTTTTATAGCCTCATGACCCACAGCTTGTTTAAGGGAATCTGTGATAAAGACCCCTTTAAGAGCCTCTAGCAATGATCCATTGATGTAGTCCCTCCAGAAGGCATCCAAGTAGGTGAGCTCAGAGAACTTAATATCACAGATGATGGATCCCAAGTCTCGAGATTTGAGGATGGTGTTGGCTTGGTTAAAACGCTCAAACTGTCGCTCCACTGCCTCTTGCTTATTTGAGAATACATTGCCCTGAAGTGCAGACTCATGTTGGCAGTATTCGGCACGAACCCGGAGGCGAATATCTGAAAGAAGCAGGGACAAGATGGATCAACTGAGAGTGAAGAGTAGAGCGCCAACAAATTAGGAATCAATTAAGTTTTTTTAGACAAAGGCAATTTAGTGAAATACACTATGTACTAGCCTGAAGATGTGCACTTTCATTATCCTGAAAATGCACTAGTCTGTACTGTCTGTCTTCCAACTATGCCTCAAGGGAAAAGTGTTTATAGCTACTCCCATGTGGAGGTGTGAGGTGCAGTGGACCATACAAACGGGCATAATCGCACACCCTTCCAGACAGCCTCTTCTCTAAGCCATTCATAATGTTGCAAGAATTATGCACACAAAAAGACCCTGAAGTAATCAAGAGGAGGGCTTAAGAGAAATGTTCAAATCTTGCCTAGCATTTCAGCACACATGGCCACTGACTGTATGAAGTAGGTTTACTTAAACAGTATGATTGCCTATTTTAAAGTGAATTTCAAGTACAGTACTTGCAAATCCATTTCAGACACTATTCTGATGATTCATCATGAATTTTGAGGCACACTGATGACTGAACAAAACTATTTAAAAAAATCTGAGGTAGAAGAATCTCTCTAACACGAGTTTTCAAAAAGAACACCTGAGGCTGTTATAAAACAGAAATGCAGTATTTGAATATATTACAACCTGCACTCTTTGAAACATTAATTCCAGAAACTGTCTATTATTCATTAGGCCAACAAAGTATTTAATGGTTTTACATTAGTATTGATCCCAAGGGCACTTTGTGTTTACAGACTGGCCTGAATCAGAAAATGTAGTTTCTCAAGCATCCAAAATTTTCTAACAACTTTTCAATCACATAAGCACATTTAGCTTAAAGAGTAATCCCCAAACCACTGAAAACCAATGTATAAGGATATTTAGAAGTGTTGTTAATTGATTCAGGTCCAATTCTTGACATTTCAGTGCCAACTATTTGAATTCTGTGTATTGGGTTAAAATTATGCACAGGGATTGCTCTCTGCTGCTGGCAACCCTGCTTTTGCTGTAGAACTCTGCTGTTGGCTGATCTGGTGGTAGGTTATGTGTATGCTGCCAGCTTTCGTAACCAACCAACCAACCAACCAACCAATTAATTAAATGATTAATGAAAAGCATCCATGATGTGCTAACTGTATGTGTTAGCACAGTTTTGAAACGTGCACTCTGTTTGCATGACTATGTTTTCATGATTTAGTTTTATTATATTAACTGAGTTTGTTTCTTGTGATTTAGGGCTATACAAATAAAATGGAATTGAACTGAAAGCAATAGGAATATACCAAAAACTCACAGTATGATATTGCCATGATAAGTCAATGATATGATAATTGTCATGATATAAAATTTTGAAAAAATATGGGAAAAATCTTTTACTAAATAATAAATTAGCATTTTTGGTATGATTTTCCTTTCAGCTTAAAGTGCTCCTGCTTCCCTTCTTTATTAAAATATATAAAATAAAGAGTAGCCAGCCATAATCTAAAAAAATGCAGCAGTCAACAGCGGTCCTTTCATGAAAAACAAGAAATAATATATTATTGCCCCAGGTGAATGTTGTAAACAAAACAAGTTACATTCAGTGGGACATCAGTTTTTACCCTCTAGACAGGTTTAACTTTCTCTGTTTGGTGGACATCTAGACTGTAGGTCTGGTTCTCAGTACTTGACCGGCTAAAGCAGGTTTCCCCCTTCCCTCCCTAGCACACCAGAATGAGGAGAAGATACCAAACTACACTAGAGGTCAATCCCAATTCCACTGACTGCATCCACTTTCACTCACTTACAGCCTTTCCTTGCGTTTTAGTCCCGCTCACATAAGACGCAAGGACATACTGACAGGAGAGAGAACCGAGGAAACGTGTTTTAACTGACACGAGACATCCTGTCCACTGATCCTTCATGTGAATTGTCCAATCATCGCAAACTGATTCTGATAAGGGGGCATGTAAATTTGTAACAAACTTCCATGAGGGGCGCACTTGGGTATCTTCGGTTATAGTTCCTCCAGGCAGCCTCCTTGCTGCTCAGAGCAGAGATAAGAACTCTGGGACATCCTATATCATGGTGGCAGGGAACAAGTTCTGGGTTGACTGAGGAATGATAAAATAAGGGATTCACCTAAGGACCTGCCACATTTGTGCTTTACTGGTGGTGTTTCTCAGGGTCTACTTTTTAAGAGAAATGACTTAGTGTTTGGTTTTGCATTTGTGTATCTGGTTTGTTTGCCCATCTCTCATTAAAATGTAGCACATAGTCATGTCCCCACTGTTTCTGCAAGATGTATCCATGAGTCTCAGTCCTAAATGGGACTAGCATTACCTTCGTCTGGCAGTATTTGGAAATTGTCAGTTTCCTTTCCACCTGTGTCATTTCTTGAAATGAGAAAACTGAAATGCTGCCACACATCAGTTCTAAAAGTTGCCGATGAAACACTTGCTGTCAGTTTCAGATTCTGCGACCTGGATGCAGCTATACTACTGAAATAACCTGTTAGTCCCACGACAGTATCGAGAAATCTTTCTATCAAGATATCACAAAAATGCAAATATCGTTACATTCCTAGAAAACCAGCATATTTCTTTAGTAAATCCTTCAGCTCACTGTTTCATCAATAATCAGTTTCAGAAATCTAATTCTCCCAGTTAAAATTTTCACAAGATATCAATAAATTAAGTGGATCAACTTGTAATTACTTAAGGCATGTAAACACCTGCAATTAAATGTGTCTTGATTACTTAAGTGTATGTAAATGTGTTCTCAAGTCATTCTCAACCGAGGAACACAGCAGACACTACTTTTGTCATCATACTCTTTAGGACCAAAAACAATTCTCCCTATCAATGTACTGCTTTTTACCACATGTTTGCTTCTCTCTGCAGTCAGCTGAGGAGTGACATCTCTTTCGTTTGCGTTTTGGTACAGGAGGAGCTGGCTTTGTTCTGGTAGGGCCAACGTGGGCTCCTGATGGGGAACAGCAAATGACAGGCTGAGGACCTAGAAAGTGACATTAGTTTTGCCATTAGTTAATCTTCTTTATTACAGTCTATAGAAAAAGAATTTGAATGCACACACAATCACCCACCTGTTCTTCTGTGAGGCGTTGAGTCCTTGCTCTGCACTGTTCCTCTTGGTGAAATGTAGCGCACGGATGTCTCTTCCAGGTACTTGTCAACAGGGTCTGGACACACTAAAAACAAGAGTTGATTTCTGAAGTTATTAGTTGGGAGAGTTGAGTCAGTTGACCACAACAACTGCTTCATCAAAATCATCAAAGCCTCTTAAACCCCATCCCGACCAGGCTGCTGAATATATATATAAAAAAA